ATAAGTTTAATACTTTAATTAAGAGTATTAAATTAAAATAAATTAGATTTGCTCATTACATAAAATCGCTTCTTTAATCAATTTTATAATATTCACTATTAAAAATTTCATGAAATTTAATATACTTTTAAGTTACATAATTTGGACTTAATTCATAACATTATATCGAATTTGATGTATTTATAACTGAAAAGTATATTTGGGTACATTAAATTGGGGAAATTTAATGTATTTTTCATGAAAATTTATAAAATTTAATATACACGCTTATTACATTTAAGTAACTACTACAACTTAATTTTCAATTAAATCATTCATTATTTTTAATTTCGTTCATAACCAGCTTCATTTACATGTAAAGGAAGCATTTCTAACAGTGTTCTTTAAAAAAAAATAAATTCTTGGTTTGAGTATATAATAACAAGTTTTTCTAAAATTTGTTGTAATAAATATATTTTAAGATTATCAAGAAAATATTCCTATAAAGACAACTGTTATTTGAAAAGAAGAAACGCTAAATTGAGTAATTACTTTTTTTAACAATAGAACATTTTTCTGTGCGCACGTTAAAGAAAAAAAAAAAGAGATAAATCGTGCAAAAAGTTTAACTAAAAAAATTGGCCTTTTGTGATTGTCGCTCCTCGCAAAAATTGTAAATTTACCAAGTATTATTTCGACACCGATATTTTCGACGAGGACGAGTGCTTTTCTGAGAGTGCAATTAGCCTTTCTGTTGTGCGGCTCATGAAGAAACGCGGGGAGAATGACCCGAAAATACCTGCGAAGGAATGCGACAGAGGAAAGATCATGAAGAAATTTTGACAGCGACTCGCTGGGGAATTCAATTAAATAGAACTCAATCATCCTGGAAAGATATTTCCCCCGAGTTCACGTTACCTCCAGGAAAGTTCTATGAATGTGGAGATTACTTGCTCGAGAATTTTGCGAGATTGAGTTGGTTTCTCGATTGAGGGAAAAACAGACGGGCGAAATATACGAGAAACGGAGAGACAAAAACCGAGTCGTCTGAAACCGTACATAACTTTTAATCTCTACGAATCCTTAGATTCCGGCACTTATTACACTTATCTTCGACTCGAGTCCCGGATAATTTCGGCAATTCCATTACTGCATTGTTAAGAAGAAAACCGTTCTCGAAGCCGAAATTTGTATACAAATATTTTCTATCAGCTTTGCACATACCACTAAGAGATAATGCACGTAAAATTATGCTACTAATGTGTGTGTGTTGTGTGTATGTGTGTGTGTGTGTGTGTGTTTGTGTGTGTGTATGTATATACAGTATTCACGCTTCACTAATATTGGCACTTGGAGTTTCCGACAAATTGAGAAAATATGAGAAAGAAGTGTGAGAGAAAGAGAGAGAGAGAGAGAGAGAGAGAGAGAGAGAGAGAGAGAAACGAAGTTCGAGCGTCGTTTGGACCTTTGAGCATGAATATACGCGTCCGCGGAGCATCGTTCATTCGAACACGGACGGAACACGACTCGATGATATCTAGGATGATTCTGGAGGCAGTATCGAGCGTGTAACGACGACACGCGTTTAGAAATAAGGGCACTGGTCTTTCGCTCGAAGCGTCGCGCACCGACTTCCTATCTGTTGAACAAACATCGTGGACGTTATATCTTACGAAGTGAAACTTCAATCTAAATTATCAAAGAGGAATAATGCTACCAAGGTTGGCTACTCGAGGAAAGTTTCTCCTCCAACAGAATCAAATAATTTCCCTTTGCTCCCCCGTAATTAACGGGAAGGAGACTATTTCCTAGTTAAGTTTTGATTCTCTTCCGCGGAGCAAGCATATATTCTTTCGTTTTGTGCGAGACACTTCTGTATGAAATGTGTGTTTATACACTCCGTAAACTGCGAACGTATCACGCGATTTTGCTCGCTCTATCGAAACAATCGAGAGAGAATAATGCCTTTTCATTCATTTAAGTTGGTATTTATAGCTCATTCTTATTTTAAGATCGTCTTAATAGTAGCGTCTTAAGATACTAATAAGCAGAGTTGGCATAAATTCCTCATTTTAAAATTCCATAATTTCTCTCTGATTTTCAATCAAAATTTCATTAAATGATTTTTTGTTCCGATTTAGAAACCGTCAAACATTTTATTATAAGTAATTTAAGCAATGTAAATTCCTATTGATGTTGTTGATATTTCTTTCGTTTAATTGTTAAATTGGTAGCATTCCTAAACTGTGTAATGTATGCACATTACATTTCTTTAAAGCTAAGAATTTTAATTTCCCAGAAAATTTTGCAAAATTCCCTGACTTTTCTCTGATTTCCTTAGTTGTTTTCAACTTCCATGACAAAGCTTTTTTGAACATTTCCATGATATTTATCTGATTTCCAGTTTTATGGCAATTCTAATAAAGTTCTATAATTGATATGCTTATGATATCTTAAGATTGTACTAAAGACGAGGTTTTAGATAAGAATCGACTATGAATACTGGCTTTAGGAAACAGTGATCACTACTAAGTAACGTCTTTTCTCGCGAAACGATAACAGAACGATAATTAAGCAAACATTAAACGCTAAGCGCGGCATTAAGAGCACTTACTTTCATAAGAATGCATTTACTTGGGCAACACTGTGTCGTTTCGAGTTTAAGGGCGGCGACGATCGCGAAAAAAATCGGGCTGTTACGTTTAAATTAAGTCGCGTGTGTTACGCATATCGCGATTGATATTACCGTATTTCTTACTATTTGAACATCGTTTCGGTTCAGTTTCTTTGGCACTGTTTTACATTCTTTCTCGGCCGGGTTGTTAAGACGATCGATTGGTCGGTCGACGGAGGACGAGAGTGTTTAATCGAACGTGCTTGCTGAAGCTCATGTAATAACTCATAGCTAACGAAGAACACCGCCTACTGATTTACAACGTAATCGTAGCGAACATTATTTACAAGTATAGTATAATTTACAAAGGGCACTGACTGGTATAACGTGGTAACTACAGACCTGAAAAAAAAAAACGCTCAATACTCGATCGCGAGTCTTTACTGAGGCATTTTTATGCACTAATCGAACTTCTGTATGATACAGCGTTATTAGAGAGAAGCATTGAAATTTGAGCTGATAAATATGTTAGTTGTATTCCTCACAAGAATAGAGAGCATTAAAAAAAATGCAAATATCAGTATTTTATTATATTTTTTTAATCGTAATTAATACAAAGGACTTGAGCAAAAGAATAAAAATATTTATAATCACGAATATAATGATTTAACTGACTTCGTTTTTAAATAAAGCCAATAAAAATTTTAATAACATTCAAATTTACGCTCAAATGTCTGCAATATACGTACATATAAATAATTGGAAATGTTTTATCAGAGCAGTTTACTTGCTCAACGCTGTGCCATACGTTCAATTAGGGCAAAGTTTCCTCTCTTCTTCAAATATAACATTTTTCTAACATTTTGCGTAAGACTCTAACAGAAATATTATTTCTCATACATTACGCGTTCTTAAAAAGAGTTCGCGTGGTGCAATGCACATTGTAACATTACATGAGATTATTTATATCTACAATGACTTTCGCAATGCATCGTATTGCACAACTATAAGAGAAATTCTATAATATCGCTGTTTTGTAATAAAAAGTTCATTCAATAACAATGAATTTTTTAACATTTTCATTATATGTATATATATGTGTGTATATATATATATATATATATATTAATCCATTATAAATAACTAGATGTTATAAAACAAAGAGAAATCGATAAACAACCCGGAATTGTCTAATATTCAAGCAGTTCTCTCGTGAATTCAACTAACAACATTAGATAATAATGTAATTATTGCATGTTTCACTGAACAATATACTATATGTATCAGAGAGAGAAAGAGAGAGAGAGAGAGAGAGAGAGAGAGAGAGAGAGAGAGAGAGAGAAAGAAACGTAACTTGTTAAACGACGAATTTTAAACTGTTCTGTTGCTGATTGTAAGTTATTTAAATTTAATAACGTCATATCCAATAATTCTAGAGTGTGTGCTCAGGAACATAATACGAGGAAAAAAAGATCACAAATGCGAATATAAAATTTCTGCGAAGAAAAAACATAATATAATTAATTCATTAAAATATTCAGCAGATCATTTTTATATCTAAAACTTTTCGCAAGAGCATTTTATACATCTGACGTGTCCCTCTTTTCTCTATATTCATGGCTCGATAGATGACTTCGAGCAAATTATTCGTAGTCGTAAAACAATGTGTGAATGAGCAATAAAAAGACTAGGATTGTGCGGAGAAAGTCGCGAGTTTATCATTTAAAACGTAACGTTAAGTCGTTCAATCGCTAAAAACTGTCAGGCGTTTCAACTAACTTTTATAGAGCATGTAAATAAAAAAAATAGTAAAACACTAAATTTCGAAAGAATACTAATGTATATTACAAAAATTTTGGAATTTTTGTTTGTTGTGATACACATCTACATGTAAAATATAACAAAAATTAATAAATTCATTAGATAATGTATTGGATATGTAATCTATTTGCACAATATTTGTGTGAACAATTTAATGATAATAGATCCTCCCAAGTATAACAGATTAGGCAAAGAAAATATTAAAAAATTTGGCACCGTGAATTTCCATGCAAAACCAATCGAAAAGATTGATTCGGAAATCCTATTCCAATGTACTCGATATCATCTTTTTCATTTGAATAATATAACAACAATAGAGCAATAATTATGAATAATATTAATAGTTACAATATAATTGTTAATAATAATAATTAAACAGAAGTATTTTTTTACATTAATTATTGTAAATACTGTACACAACATATGATATTGTTGTTTAGTAATTATTAATGATGATTGATAATTATTATAAAAACTATACGTTTCGTATTAAGTCTTCTAAAAAAATTTTTTTACAGAAAAACACTACGCTTCTTTCTTCATTCCTCATCAATAATTAAAATTTAAAATCATGGATAAACTTACATATTGTATATACCATATCTTTTTATAATCAAAACCGTTATAAAATCAAAGTGATTTGGCCTCTAAAAAATTCACTAGTTTACGTAACTTAAAAAATAGTTAAAATTATATACATTTTTACTTGCTTGAGTTGCTAATTTACGCGATCATTAAATTTCTTTTGCTTTTATTTTCTTTTCCCTTAAGGCTGTTTATCGTCTCGTTTTTTTTTCTTGTCAACCGACCATACCTATCAGATAATCAATACATTATCATAGAACATATCAGCGAAGGCAAAAAAGAACGAAGAAGTAACAAAGAATCTTAAATTCACGAAGTACTATGATCTCTCTCTCACATACAGGAAGGTAACCCGATTTTCTTTTTTTTTTTCAAGCCCTTTCTCAAGTTGCGATGAGCAACGCACGAATCGCGAGCGAGATTCGTACCAGCTCATGGATAAAGAGTATGCATGTATATGTTATAAGTGTTTTGCGAGCCAGTTTTCTTTTCTCCTTCCGGCGGACAAAAAGAAACCCGGACGTGGCACGCGGTAAGCCTTATTATCTCTTGGACCCTCTTCTCACAATCATATCATTTTTTTTTCTTTTTTTTATTTACGTACTCTTAAAGTGGACGACACTTGGACGTGCGCACGGTAAGTAACTTATTATAGAGTTTAACTACGTCTTTCCCGTTGCGCCTCTTCTCTCTTCGATTTTCTACAATGTCTTCCTCAGTCGTTACAGGACCAGCTTTAAATCTCCATACGTCCCCGCACAATTTTATGTTCGCTGATCATCAGAATGCCCTTATTTTCATTTTTCTATATTCCGAATGGGTATCTATCTCTTGAATGTACTCGATTGTCAATAGCCTTCATGCAGTATTTAGTATTGATCGAAGTTGATGCGCGAGCCTTACCGTGATGACGAGAGTCGGCGAGACCGTCGCCGTCGTGGAAATTGTCGCAATCGACGACTCTTGCAACGGAGACGTGGGGAAGATTTGCAGGAAGAGTATTTCGCGTACGATGTATATTCATCATTGCAAGATGCTTTATGACAAATATTGTACACGAGATCTTGCATCGAGCCATTTCGAGTCACTTGACTTTCCGGTGATAGAACACAGGAACCATATGGACCGTGAAAGATCAGCCTTAGAACATGCCGAGAAAATGCAGATTCTACGGCAACGTTGACAGAATCGAGGAAGAGGGGAGGAATAAGAGGCGGTCTTTTCAGTTTATGTCAGTAATGCCGATGATCGATACCCCCGATGTTGTTGCTGCCGATGTTCATGGAGTTACTAATTATACCGTTATCAATGGTATTCGGAATCGACATTCTGCCGGCGGCGTTCTCACTGTCGTACTCTAAGATCAGTCGTTTTATATGGCTCAGCTTATTGTGCAGATAGTCAAATCGTTCCTTCATCTGCTGGTATACTGGATTCTGTTTAGTCTCTTTGTACTCGCGATATATCTGTTCTTTAGTTTCCTGAAATCAGAAAAAACGCCACCATATGATCTCGTCTGCTTGCTCGATAAATGCAATCGGATCATTTATAATGGAAAACTGCGATATATACCTCACTCTCGATCATGTTGCCCGATTTCTTTTGATCTTGCAATAGTGTATACAAATGCGTGAAGCGATTTGCAGTTACGAGTACTTGGGAGTGTAACCTACGATATTCATCATAGTTCGCGTTGAACTCTTCTTTGTAACGCCTTTTCTGTTCCGGGTTGCTTATTGTTGTATATTCCCTGGACAAATGATTTTACATAAATATTGTATCAATCAACAAATTACATTAAATTAACTTGTAACAATCTATGAAAAGAACACCGTTTTTCGTTGTCGTTTAAAATTACTTCCGCAAATTAGTAGTAATCGATAATGTAGCTAATATACTCACGTGCGATAGTCGACGTATTGCCCGGTACTTCCCAACCTTTCGAATCCATCAGTCGGCAGCAAGATCGCAGTGGTACCAATGGCATTATCGGTATAAATAGGAGCGCTAGAGGTTTCACCGTAGATACCTGCATAACTAGTGATACTACTTCTATTCCTGAATTCCCTCTCTCTGTTTCTCTCTTCTCTCGCGCCTCGACTCCTATCGCTCCTGTCTCTCCTGTCGATGTGGTCAATCATGTTGCTCGCAATTTCATTGGCCATAATGACACCGCCGTCGTGTCTATCCCCATTCGGATGGTGGTTGCCCCTTTCACTATCATCAGGCGACAACGGTGTCAAGCACAATGATCGATTGGAGTCGTTTGGAACTGCGGTGATAGCGGAGACTTCACTATAGACGTTCCCAGTACCCCGCAGTACGTCACTATTTGCTGTCCTTTCGGCCCGGTATTCGATGCGGTTGATGCTGCTGCGTTGCAATTGCTGCCTCGATTCCCAACCGTCGAAACCGCTACCGCCGTTGTTACTATTATTACCATCACCACTATTGCTGTTACCACAACCACTATTAACGCTGGTGGTACGATCGACGATACGGTCGCCACCAGCGGTTGCACTAACACCACTGTTATTATTACTATAACTGCCGCTGCCTGATAGCCTTTCGCCAGCAGGGATGAAGGAGATAGGCTCGGGTCTCTTATAGTGCGATATCCGCGGCTTCTTCGTTGGTAGTCCGTCGTTACCCTGATAGTATCCTGGTCTCTTGTTACTAACCAAATTGGGCGGAGGTGCCGTGATAGCCGGCGGTGAGCCCGCATGAATGGAATTGGGCGACTGACCACTGCCTAAGAGTGTAAACATATACAAAAGATGTGTTATTTAAAATAAAGCTTCATATTTATATATGCAAATAATGTGTTAGTGACTAGTACACGTACCGCTGGAACCGCCGTCGCTCGAGCCGGGTGGAGTAAGGTTTTGAGGTTTCCGCCTCCTCAACATTGTCCTTTCCTGCTCGGTATAGAAAGGCCAATCCTCCTGCACATCGTTCCAGATGTGCCTATACAAGTGATACGTGTTGTCACGCATGTAAGCTACTTGCTTTAGAAGCGTCTGCATGACGGGTCGCTCTCGTTCTCTCAAACCCTCTGGAATTTGTCGATATATATATATAAATATTGTCGACTATTCCGAGAAATTGAAAAAAATCTGGAAATCTTGAAATCTTATTTTACCTTTTTTGATGCGCTCGTAAAGCTCGGGCTTTTTATAGGGCCTCAAAGCAAGAACATGGATAAGTCTTTCCCTATTGCACAGAAAAAAAATTCAAATCGCATTAAAATCTTTTTCTAAGAGATATCAACTTTAATAAATTTTCCTACTAATTTGTGCATTGAGCATCCAATTTGACTAGCTTTCGTCTCATTAATCTACAGAAAATTATAGCTCAATTTATATTATAGCTTAATTTGCGAAAGATTATAGCTATGTTTAGCTTTCTCTGTCTTTGTTTATCTTTTATCGGAGCATGACTTATTCTCATGCTCTTATATCGAAACACTTACTTAAGTGGCCTGCGCATAATGTCAGAAACTGGTTTTTTCTCTTGATTGTGAGCCGCCGATAGATGGCTACTATTATTATTACTACTATTAGCGATCGGCTTGTTGGTTGAGGCTTTGGGCTGACTATTGCCGGAAGTTGGAATGCTCATCGTAGATTCCCGATGCCTTGCATACGATGACGGAGGAGGTATTGTTCTTCCGGTTCCTTTCACTTTCACCTTGCGTCCGATATCTGGACCGTTCGCCTTAATCACCCTCGTGCTAGAGCAACATAATTTCCATAGAAATAAATGAAAATGCAGGGTTAGGAAAGTTGCTTTACAAGTCACTTGTAATTTACTTTTTATTATGGAAATTAGGTACAATTATTATAGTTCGGCTATTTTATTTTTTATGTTATATTTCATCATTTGCTTCAATTTTGTATTACTTTTTGTATTATTCGATTTCAATAACAAACAGATAAGGTAATCTAAAAATTAACTTAGAAATAACTTATAAAATAACTTCCAAACCCTATGAAAATGTATGATATTTTAATGCATTATTTAATTAAGTAAAGTTAAAGAATTGGAAAAAATTAGAAAAAAAAAACAATTAAAAAAAGAAGATAAAAAGTATGTTCTTATTTTGACTTATCTAAAAATATTGGTATAAAAAAACCTATATATTTCTAATATATTTATTTAGAGGAAATATAATAGCATAATTTATTTCGTCATGTCATTCGGCAAGGATGGCATATTCGTAGCGGCGAATCTCTCATTTTCCATGTATTCATGTACGAAACGGTCTTCGTGCGACGAGCTACACTTTTATTCATACAATTAATACAATTTGCAACATCACTGACATAGGGGTCCGATCGATTGTCTGATTATGCAATTTTCTTTGACGTAAACGGTGCGTAAGCGCACGCCATGATAGAGGCACTGTAACGATGAAGAGAGGCGGAAAAGGGTTCAGACGTGATGAAATCGCACTTGTGAGGCGCTCTTAGCCTTGGCCGTGACGATTAAACAAATTAGCTGTAGGCGGTTTAGAAATGGAATAATAGGAGTCCCAGAATAGGCTAAGTCGAACGGACGGGCAACACGAATTAGACAAAATTACGGATATTGTCTTGTATTGATGTATTTATGTAGCGAAGGATAAAAGGTGACTGCTCCGAAATTGAATGAATGAGTCTGGTAGTACCAAGCAACAGACAGCATTGTTGTGATTGTATGTCGCTAAATATAGCATCACCTGAAGAAGAGGAAACATTCCACGAAATAGGAAACTTCTTATTAGTCGATGATGCAGAGATTTCAAATGAAAATGCGCGAAGCTTTATTATTTATTACATTATCGAATCTTAAAAATCCATTTGCAAAAATTTGGATAAAAAAACATCCGTATTTTCTGACAATAAAAGTTTTGATAATTTTAATAAACGATATTTTTTTTAATAAGCGATTTCTTTTAATAACCATTTATTCTGTCAATGGATGCAAACAACTCACTTCTATGATGTATCTTCTATACGTGTCTCTGAATATATTTAAAAAATCCCAGAATATTTGTAGATAACGTAAACCCCACCCATGTGCTATTATTCAAGGTATGTCCGTCAACTAAAAAGTACATCCTCGGGCAATATTCTACAAATTCTCACGATATTGCAGGGACGTATGCGCGCACGAGGCTACCTCGTAAATTCCTTCGTGAATCGCACGAACGTCCGTTAGGAGACCGTATCTACAGGCGAAAGTTTGTAAGAGTAAAAAACCACGAAGCAAGGATTATTTACGATTCCGCGGCGCTTCGCGGAGGAAAGTCCTGAAAATGGAAAGAAAGGAAAGCGGTCGCGTCTTTCCAAAAAGAAGAGAGATCCTTCGCCCGGAGGATCGAACGGTCGCCGACGGCTGTATGTTCCACTCCTCAAGGGAATATCCTTACCATTTGTTCTTGTTATTCTCCTCAACGACCGCCATTCTGTGCCTGGTGGTCTCGTAAACGTCATCGTTTGCCTGTATCCGCATCTTGTATGGTATAGCGCCGAGGCTCTCGAGGCTTCTATAAGAAAGAAGAGCAAGAAGATAATGAGAAGATAAAAAGAAAAAAATAATAAGAAAATGACAAGGATCAGGATAAGAGGCAATTCTTTAAGCTTCAACCCGCATCTTTTAATAAATTAATGAACAAGAGTACACGGAAAAAGATCGATTTTTAAAGTATCTTTTAGCTAAATATACAGACTGAAAATAAAATTATAAAACTTAAGTATGATGAGCAGTGCTGCAATAAGGTTTGATATTCTATAGCAACTAGTTTGAGCTTCCGACAAATTATTTCGATGGTCCAACAAAATTATTTTGAAATCTGTATCTAACAAAATTTTTACTATGTCAGCAAAATTGTTCTTTCAGTATATATAAGATATAAAAATATATAAACAGAAGAGACGCGACTCTTGATTTTGCCAAAGTATTATTAGTAGGTTATTACTAATATCTATTACTGGTTTTTTATTACTATTATCGTTATTGTATTTATTGATGATACGTTGTATTATATAATTTATATGTATGCCTTTATACGATACATTATGTCATATATTTATACGCAAACACGTATATGATATATCGGTTTATTGTTACTCGGAAAATAAAGTAAAGTAATCAGAAATGAATCAACGAGCAAATCGAAGCTCAATTTATCATTCGCCATGTTACGTTTTTAACATCAATTCGTCAAATCACCGGATCATAGTAGCCAGTATTACTGAATCGGTTCTGCTGACGCAAGCATAACCGTCCACGAGTGTAGTCACCAGTAGTAGTCGACACCTGCTAGCTCACTAACAGCGCTTTAGTGTGTCAAGTTGCCGCGATAAAACCACCTGTTCAAGGATGCTCCAAAGTTTTTACGTCGCTCGATTTAGATTGCGGATTACGTTACGACGCTTACGATGGAAGATTACTCGAAATTACCGTATCGAGTACCGAGTCCATTCACCGAGACATTATTTCTCTGTATATGTTATAGCGAATCTGATAGCCACTGTGACGTACATAAAAGAAAATTGTCTATCTATCTAGCTTTCCTACGAACGCTACAAAATATAATAACATCGAGGAATTAGACCATCAAATGTTAACAAATAATAGACGTAAAGCGATTTATCTCGCGATTCTTAGCTTCGAGTTTCTCTTGTATTCGGATATTTTCATATCGATATGCTGAACGTACGAATGTAATACATAAAATATCTCGCAAGCTCTCGTTATACCGTAATAATCAATACGTACTTAGGGCCGGTCTGTTGAGCAAGCTCGAAACCACCCTGGGAACCCTCCATGTCCTGGCTGCTGGAGACGCTAAAGGTGAATCTGGCCACTCCGTTGATGGATGGAATGCTGAGATGCTGAAATCAGAAGGCAGAGCGTGCGTGTTAGTCGTCGTCCTCTTAATAAGATCACATTAAATTACAAAACGACGATCTATGCGGCGGTGTATAACGTCTCTGTGCGTATAACGTCTCTGCACGGATCTGCTGTATATATATCTCTTTTTTTTCTCTTATAGCTGCAGATATATACCCGCCATATATAATACATGAAGTTCACCTATGTATCTGTTCAGTTATCTATTTAATGTCTGTTCCACTGTTCGTCAATTTCACTTATTTCTCTCTTTATTTCTTACATAAACTAGAAAGTTTTACGAAACAATAATGTTTTCAACGTGTGCTTTTAAATTTAATTCCACTCAAACTAACTTTTAACTAAATAAAATATTCATATGGGCATTTTCTCTAATTTCAGCATATATTCAAATCAATAAAGTACATAATGTCGCAATACTTAAACGCTAATATAGATTTAATTCGTAATAAAAACATATATTTTCTGACGTTAAGGAATATATGGGTTCTTGGAACTTACTAAAGCTTTTGTGTTGTTGGTTTTATTTTTTTTAATTTTTCAAATTTAAAATTGTAAAAAATAAAATTGTGAAATGCAAAATTACTTCAAATCGTTGCTAAAAATTAGGAAAAGTTCCAGGATCACCAGGATGTTTATCCATCCACGTGTTCCAGTTAAATAAATAAAACTGGTGCAAACGTCGTCAAATATTAACGTGAGCAGATAGTAAAATGACAAGGGTGCGATTTGTTTATTGCCGCATAAGTGAACCGATGACATTTATGCGTTTTATATTAAATTATATGGACCGAACACCGTCGAAGTATAATATATTCGCGATAACGTCATTTATATCGAGCGACAAGTCTCGGCTCGTTTGCGCTCCTCTCTCGCTCGCTGCATGTGCATTGGGCACGAAATCGATCCCCGATCGACGTTGCGAAACGAGAACGTTGCGGCGATGGGAGCGCAAAGCGTGTCGTCGTTTGCGGAATTAGCGCGTAATTCGCGCAATCGCGGATAGCTGTCCCCGACGACTACCGATTATCGTCCGACGTTGAATTAGACCGAGGAGAAGATAATACCGGCGAGCGGAGCGCGCGTCTAGAAGTAAACAGATCCTAATCGGATTGTCGCCGGTAGCACGACGGTGGCATTTCGATGACGCCGTCAGATTATAAAGGAATTCGAGCGATCTCGGATCGATGTAGCCGCGTTAAGCGCTAAGTGCAAAGGGCAGCGAGTATAACTTTCAGGCCAGATTTCGTGACGGTGACGGGAGAGTAAATTCAACTGTGGTTTAATCTTCCCTTTGAAACGCTATTATACTGTTCCAAAGAGATAATAAAATATTATTAATAATAGTAAGATTGGAAATAATGATCTCGTAGGCTTAGGACGCTCGCACGGAATGTAAGAGATTCGGATTCGATTCCGGGATTCCCGGCCGAAGTAATATTTTTCGCAATAAGTTTATTAGATTTTTTAAGATTAAATTTGGGAAATTTGAAAGCATTGTTAATATTTCAGATTAATTGTGAAATTTCGACAACAATATCGGCACGCAATTATAATTTCTAAAATTATTCATTTAAATGAATATATATAATAGTTCAACATCTTAACATTCAGATTATAATGGCGCTTCGTATTTAAAATAATGTACCTAAAATATTATTATTTTTATATTATTTTTGTAGACTCAACCATACACGAAAAGAATAATTTTGCTAAAATATCGAAAAAAAGCTAGATCCGAAGATAATTTTATTGGATCATCAAAATAATTATGTTAGATATCTCAAGCATGAAGAGCAATGCTGTAAAAAGTTTCATTCTATTTCTATTCATTCTAGCAAGCAGTTTTGAACATCTCACATAATTATTTTAACGGTCCAACAAAATTATTTTCAAATTTATATCTAATTCAATTGTTAGATATTTCAATGAAACCGTTCCTTAGTACACATACTGTCATTAAAAGTCTGTTTATGTTCCATTTGATTCACGTTCTATTTTGCGGTTAGTTTTTCTTTCTATTTTTGATCTGTTCCGTGTTTTTGCTGTATGATTTATTTTACCTTGTGCCGTAATTGTCTTGTTTTTATTGCAACATATAAAAGTAAGTATAAAAAAAATGTAAATGCAGTTTTGCTGCTGTTTTATTTTTTACAAACATATGTTTTTATTTATGCTCTCCAATTAATCCAATTTATCTACAAATCAATTTTGTATATACGCAACAAAGTATATATTATCTTTATAAAGAGGAAAAAGAGAAAAAATTTTGCCATTGCCAACGTTCGATATTTTATATATCGAGAGCAAATGCAAATGTATTTAAATAACAATAAAAAAATATATATACATGCGTTTCTCATATTTATAACAGCATGTACTATATATATATATATATATATAACAAATACCGTAACGTTCCAGCTTAATTATTCTTTAAAAGAAGTTAAGAAGTTTATAAGATCAGTAAATCTTTTTATATCCTTCAACTATATATAAAATGTACCATCCTGAAAGTGCTCCTCCTAAAGTCAACGATATTGATTACCAAAATAATTAGAAGTAAATTTGAATAAACCTCAACGATTGCTGTAGAATTGGCCGCGATTGACGCAAGCGAGATCTGCGTGACCTTTTTTCGCAAATCAATTTCATCGAACTCGATCAAGCGCAACTGATCGTTTCGCAACCTTTGCGTATACCACCCCTCCGACTCTCGTTTCTCATTCCTCCCTCGCCCTGCGTTGTTCTACTCTCCTCCCTTTCTCCGCGTATTACACATACGAAATATCTTTTCCTTTTTTTCTTGCATAATTTTTACGAACGAAGTAACGCAACAATTGCGGGTACATAATGTCACTGTAATCCATAATTTGGATTAGAGAACATTAACAGTGATTGGACATCAGAGTGATTTTGATTGGTCTACCATTTTTTAGCATTTGCATTAATCGGAACAATATAACACATACCTTTTCCTTTCTCGAAAATAAACGACATTCTCTGATGTGATTCTAATCTGATAGAATTTCTAGTTGAGAGGTTTTATTGGGCTGGATGTGGCATTACTGAGGCTCCCTTTTAAGAAAGGACTTCTGTACTATTATGCAACAAAACACAAACTGGATCCCCTTTGAAGTCTACTCGCTCAAGTTTATTACATCATACTGAGACTCAACTGAGTTTGAAATCTACGAGAAGAAAAAAGAATAGAAAGAAGAAGGAGAATCAACCTCCAATTTAGATGTAAGAATACAAGGGTGTATATAACATTGCGCATAATAACGACTGAATTAATTTGACTAATTTCTGATTAGTTACAAAAATTTGAATAATCGTATTGTTGTACACCTGATATTTTTTCATCATGAGTTTGAGAAACGGCAGCGAAATGACAAGACAGGACGAATCGATAAGGATGTTCTAGTCACGTGGCGAGAAGGCCGACATGCGTAGGCGAAATGTAGATGATGATAATGATGGTGATGACGATGACGAGACAACACACATAATGCTAGCGTACGTAATACTACTTGAGAAGCAGCGAAGAAGGGAAGGCAAACACTTCTCTCTCACGGGCATTCGCGTATCGAGGCCATAGGGGCTCTGCGAGCTATCTCCCTCCCTTTTACTCCGATAGGATGGATATATACCGCTGTCGTTGTTGCCGTCTCTTAAACGAAAGGTCGAATCGCACGAGAATGCGATATGAAAGTTTTGTGAAGGGAACAGCGCGACGGGGTGTAACCGGGAGCGCTTATTTAAATTTCACTGCGCGCACGGAAGGAAGGACGGCCGGTTTATCTGTCTGGTTTGTTTGCCTGGCTGGACCTGTCTCGTCATAGCTATATCGTCCAAGATGAGATTCGCGCGAGATCCCATTGTGCGAGTCGTAGTACAAGTATCACCATAGGCCAACCGGTTTGAATTCTCACGCCGTCGTTCAAATACATGGGAGACTCGAGATCGCATGAAGATCTCTCGATTAAAGGGGGTTACTCGGAGATTATCATCCTTAGACGAACCTCGGTGGGGACAGCAATCCCTCAATCTTCTTCGGAACTCGAGAGAACTTCTTTCATTATTCATAAGCCTGTTCGATTTTTCTAATTACTATAGCAGTTTAAGTTCGTAATATTCGTATCGAAAAGTTTAATGCATAGCTGTAATATCATACAATTCTGTTTTTATCTCATATTCCAGTAGCCTGTTTTAATGGCATTTTAATGAAGAATTCTGTTAGCAAATCTACATGGAAAGAATTTTGCTATCTACAAATAACTATCTAAAAATTTAGCTATTAGGTGTTGGAATTAATTCGTAGCGTTTTACAAGTGATGGGAAGTACTTTCATTAATGTATTTTTTAATGCTCATGTGAAATAAATAACATTCTTTCATTAAAAAACGCTACGAATTAATTCCAACACCTAATAAATATACAGATCTAAAAATAATTTAGTTTGGGACATTAAAATAATTATGTAGGATACTCAAACTGATTGCTAGAATGTCAAAACTTGTTGCAGTGTTGCTTATCATGCTCGAGATTCCAACACAATTATTTTGATAGTTCAAATTATTTTCAGATCTGTATATAGATAACATTTTAAACACTTCAGAGAGCCAAATCATCTTTTCCATATAATTTTAAACAATAACAAAAAAAAAAAGAACAAGACACGTCATCAACCTTGTATTAAGGAAAAACCTGGATTACAAATTAATCAGAGAATCCACGGATCAAAGTTTATCAGGTTTCTTGGTATTATTACGTATAACGTCATTGAGCATTGAGAAACAATCATACTCTATTGATCATTTGTGCCGCGCATATACAAGATGTGACGAATCAAACAATGTGCAAACACCTCTGCTTCTACCTCTTATTTAAATTCTCTCTCTCTCTCTCTCTCTCTCTCTCTCTCTCTCTCGATATTGAATTGCATTTTTCGCAATTCAAGTAATGCCAATAGAGGAAT